ATTTCTCTTTCAACTTTTGAAATGCCACTTCCCACCTGTCGTCCCATATATAAGGTTGATCTTTTCAAGTTAGTTTAGTTAAAGAAAAAGCTATCTAGGAAAATCCTTAGATAAATCATCAATAATACCCAGCTAATCTTCAAAAACTACATATCTCTGTAACTGAACTAGGACGTTCCCATTCTAACACTGCATTAACCTTATGCGGATCCACTGAAATTCCATCTGCAGACACCATGTGTCCTAAAAATCTCACTTCTCTTAACCAAAACTCACACTTATTAAGTTTGGCATACAACTTCCTATCTTTTAAAATCTGCAGTACTATCCTCAAATGCTTTACATGCTACTCCTCATTCTCAGAATAGATCAAGATGTCATCTATAAAGACCACTACAAACTGATCCAAATATGGCCTAAAGATTTGGTTCATATAATCCATGAACACTGCTGGTGTATTGGTTAAACCAAAGGGCATAACCAAGAATTTATAATGACTATACCTAGTTCTGAAAGCTGTCTTGGGTATATCTACTGCACTAACTTTCAACTGATGATACCTCGACCTTAAATCAATCTTAAAAAAGACTGAGGCACCAGCCAATTGATTTACAAGATCATCTATTCTTGGTAGAGGATATTTGTTCTTCACAGTTACCTTGTTTAGTTGCCGGTAATCAATGCACAGTCACAAACTGCTATCCTTCTTTCTCACAAACAATACCGGTGATCTCTAAGGTGATACATTTAGTCTGATGAATCCTTTTACTAACAAATCTTCAATCTGCTTCTTTAGCTTAGCCAGTTCAGTCGGCGACATTTTATAAGGAGCCTTTAATATTGGTTCGGTTTCAAGAACTAATTCAATTAAGAACTCAACTTCCCTTTCAGGAGGTAATCTAGTCATTTCTTCTGAAAATACCTCTAGGAACTCACTTACTACCCCAATCTTCTAAATTCCACCATCATACATCGTGTTGGCTATAAAGAGTACCATATAGGCATCACAACCTTGCCGATCAACTTCTCCACACTTATTACTGATAGAAACTTAGGTTGCTCTAAAGATTCCACAACTGTACATAACACTAGTAAGGAAACTACTCTTTATCAAGCATAGCATTATTTACTGCTAGCCAATCTATGCCAATAATCACATCTATTCCTCTCATAGGAATATAAATCAGATCGATCTTGGAAACTCTGTCCTCAAATTGAATCTCCACATTCTGACAAAATTAACTTGTAATACTAGACGATCTAGAAGGTGTCATTACTTTAATAAGCACAGATAATTCTTGTAAAGATAATTTCAATCTATTCACACATTTCTTAGACACAAAAGAATGGGTGGCACCAAAATCAAACAATGCTTCTACTTTATGACCATTTATAGAAATCATACCTCTAATCGGATTTAGAGATGCTCTGGCCTCTTTTTGTGTAACCGCGAATACTCAGCCAGGAACCATTGATCTCTGCTCTGTTCCTTCAACTGCCTCCCCATATGACCTGATTTACTACACTTGTAACAAGCCTAACATCTTCCTAAATGAGATTTGCCGCATATATTGCATTGGGGCATCCTTCTAGTACTCAAAGTCAAAGTTGGAACATTCGACACTTGCCTCGAAGACTGTAGAGGCCTAATTCTCACACCTCCACCCCTCTGCATTGACCCCCTATGCACAAGTCGAGACTGCAATCCTTAACTAAAACCTCTTCTTCCAGAAGAACTGGAACTACTTGCACTAAACCCAATCCTCTTTAAGTCCATAACTACCCAATTACTAATTTACATCATCTCAATCGGTCTTATTTCACTCAAGACAAATTTTCCCCTAACTTTCTCTCTTTAAAGGCCTAAAATTGAGCCTCCAAGTTCAAAGCTCTACCATTCAGCTTTAAGCTAGTCACAAAGCTCTAATTTAACTTCCAAGAACCTTTTTAATACTATTTAATAAGAATCAAACCCCTCAAATTCTATCGATTCAATTTCCTTATAACTCATTTTTAGAGAAATGTGTGTAGAATGGAAGGTAAGAGCTATATATAGCTTATCTGGCAAGTTATCGATCCGAATCACCTTCCTCCGCTCCAAAATGACTTGACCTAGCTTCTCAGCCTTTCTCCTCTCTCTGTTTTGTGTGTTTCTCAAATTATTTCTTCTAAAATTTTCTAAAATTCATGACTTATGAAGGTAAATTCTGGTCCCTATGCCACGGTGTATACAGCATAAGCCGTGGCACGTGGCACAGTGAGATTTATTCTCACCACACATACTTGCTTTGACCTGAAATGTACTCCTATCTCCCATATCTATTCATACAACACACCAACAAGTCAATATACCAATTGATCATCCGAATCTCTAATCCCACTTTAATTTCCATTTCACCCTTGATTAACCTCTAAACTTAGGATTAAGAAATTCAAGATACTACAGAAGGTGTTACAGCTCGAAGCCCAGAAGCTTAAGAGGGCTGTAAAAAGCTCGATTGGGACATCGACGTCAGCTAGGGATAGTTGGATTAGGTTGTACAGACTCATCTCCTTCCACTGAGGTGCATACTTTGACTTTAAGTACCTCACCCAGTTGACCCAAACAAGAGGAGATCAGGACTAGTTCCTAAGCTTTCTACAAGATAACTTGAGGAAAGGCATAGTCATTCGAGCTAAGACCAAGTTATGAATGGAGGTCAGTGACAAAGGATTTGGCTAAGTAGGGGCTGTGACTTCAGACAGGTCGGAAGAGATGGTCAGGTACCCGATATTGCTTTTATTAGAGATTTGGAAGCTCCAAGGAGAAGTACTGGAAAAAAAACAAAGCACAGCTAGTGTACTTCTCTAATAAAACAAAAGGGCTAAAACATGAGAAGCGAGAAACTTATCAGAAAGCCACCGATTCAAGGAATGAAGAATCCTCTTGTAAAGAAAATGAACAACTATTAGAATGAGGAACCAATCTAGGAAAAAAAAGGGTTTTCAGACCACTATATATGTACACAAACCTGCTGAGGGGGGTAATGAGATTCTGAATAGTTGCCAAAGAATCAGGTAGACTCCCAGCGGAGGTGAAAGATAGGGCAGCAGTAGAAGAAGTAATAGAAATGAAGGAAGCCATTTGAGAGCTAAGGTAAGAGGAATGTAGAAGAGTAAATGCTTGAAGTTCAAGAAATGGCAGAAAAGCCAAGAGAAGTGACCAGAAGAAAGAAATGAGTTTATATCAGTAAAAGGCGCTCAAAAATGAAGCAATGTTTCAATTTTTTCAAATGTGCCATGTGGATTACGTTATCAGCCATTGGCACACGAGGGGCATTGTTTGGGCTAAATATGAAACGTCACTCAAATAGGTCATAGGGCTAGTTGGGCTGAGTAATTGAAGTGTCAGGCCCAATATAAACAAAAAGGGTCAACCTTGAGGCTCAATAAAGGCCACAATAAGTAAACATATTAAAATCTTGTCAACTACAAATATTAGACCATTGGCACGAAAGACACGATCTTAAGTAATGCTAAAGTCTACACCCAAGTATCTTGGTGAAATGGGCTAGTTACCAAAATGAAGAGCATGGAATAAAGACCATGCCATAAGTTTTGTAAGATCCCTGATTCTTCGATAAAACATGCTAAGTTTCAAGGAAGAGGCTATTGCTACTCTGACACTATAAATAGAATAAGAAAATATAGAAGAAACAAGTCAACACTCAATCAAAGACTCGCAATTTTACATTCGTTAGCCCTTTTTAATTTATCAATTAGTCTGTCAGTTTTAAATCTGTAATCTTTTCACATTTCAATTAAAATCATGCACTTATTCTACCAAAGCCCTGTATCTTTTTACATTTGAGTAAACTTTGGTAAGGGAGCTTAGGACTCTTTTGTTATCAATGGAGACTCAACGTCTGTGGCATACCTGGTATTTGTTCTTCACCACGAACAATGTGATATTGATAGGGTTCTAATGATATTTCACTATTAATAATCAATATCAATTTCAATTTCAATATTAGCTAAAAGCACATGCCAAAAATTTATAGATCAATGGATAGGGAGTGTGGAAAGGGGAAAAAAAATAAAGAAAAGAATTCATATGCCTAAAGGTTTACGAGACAGTATATGCAATACTATCTCATCTGCTTGATCCTTTGTCAAAAGCTAGATTTGAGTTCTCTTTTAGCAACTCCATGGCTATATCTAGACAAATGAACAAATAAATAAGGTTATAGTTGTGTCTAATACAAGTTTAACATAGCATATGATATCAAACTTCAAATTACGCTTATAAAGTCACTTGTTTTGCGCATGTGTTTTGTTTATGGTTAAAAGGCATTTTGGCCTACAACTATTTGTTCATGAGCATTTAATATTCTAAATTTATATATGGGCACTTTATCCTTTAACATTTAAAAACAGTATACTAGGCACTCTGTCATTAAAAAACTTAACTTTGACTATTAATTAACTTAAAAATTGCACAAAAGAATGTCCAAAATTACATAAAAAGGTCCAAAAAAATACATGTAGGTATCTTGTGAAAAATTAATATTAATTTAGTCCCTAAAATAGTGTGATAATGTATATATCTTCCTCAAAAATTTATAAATCCTCCTTGAAAAATATATAGCTAGTTTAAAAAATAAATTTATTTATTAATAATAATATTTATATGAGGACTATTAAAATAGCACACTATTTTATGAACTTAATCGAATACTAATTATCTTATAAAGTAGGTATTTGTAATTTTATGTCATTATCTGTAATTTTTTAGGTTTGCTTTTGTAATTTTTTGGTCAACTAATTAACTATTAAAGTTGATTTTTTTTTTTTAACGGAAGGATGTCAAGTATATCATTTTTAAATATTAAAAAGAAAAATTATATTATAGGTAAGTTTAAAACACCACATATTCCTAAGTGAATAGTTGATGAGTAAAAATGCCCTTTTATTTCTTTTTCTTGTTTATATATACATATATATATATATATATATATAGTTTACTTACCATAGATTCCAGAGTTGACACAGCAGAATAATAGATTTCTCAAGTCATCAACATTGTGAAATCCGTCATCAGCAGATTTTAGATGCTTTGCTATTTCACTTCTTCCTTGTAAAGCAGCCACTTGAAGAGGAATGATTCCTCCGGATCCCCTTATCGTTCTCAACCGCGGATTACGTCTCTCCATTATTTCAACGATCTTCGTATTCCCAGATGCTGCAGCGAACTGAAACGCAGTGTTCCCATTTACGTCTAGCATTTCCATATCTGCTTCACTCATATTCACCAGCTTGTTGACAAAGTGAACCTGGTTCGCTTGAGTGGCCACATGGAGGATCGTCTCTTGACGATTCGTTAAGTCGGCGTTAACTGGAACTGGGGTTGAGTCATCCGTTAAGATAATTAAAATCTGATCATTTTTAAAGTAACTTCTAAAAATAATTTTATGTAGAGAGAATGTTTTCAAAATGTGGGATACATGAAAATAGAATAAATTTTAAAATAATTAAATAATAATTTTTATAAAACATAAATTAAGGAAGATATCATAAAAATTAAAAATAACTAGTTAATAATCACTTTTTTATTATTGTAACTAACCAAACATAAAATAACATCTGTTTTTTAAATAAAATCTCTACAAAATAAGTCTGTTTTTATCAAAAAACACTAACTTATTTAAAAAAATTTTATTTTTAAATTTTAAACAAATGGGCCCTTAATTTGGTTAAGAGCGGTTAGAAAGTGACGACAACTTTGACATTTAATTAATTTCATTAATCTCAACAAACGGTTAACGGGGCCTTATGAAATAGACGTTGCGATGATCAAGCTGTCGAAATTCCATATCTTGGAGAATTTCAACATTCTGCTTCATCAACTGCTGGTTGAGAAGGTTGTGCTGGTGGAGTAGTTGTGGGAATTTCAGGATCTCTTCGGGAACTTCCACCTCCCATCTGGGGAGGAAAAGGAGTGATTGGTTGAAGAGGTCCTTCAGTAACGTTCTTCCTATATTGTATGAGTTAAATAACTAATTTAAATTTCTGTTATTAACACTTGAATTAAGAAAAAAGAAAGTTGAAACAATAGAACATTATAAAGAAATCCGTTATTCGAAGGATTATAAACCAATCCCAAATTAAAACTAAGGGAAGAAACAATTAATGAGCCCAAACCACTTTAAGGTGAAACAATGAGGTGTGCACCAATGTTAACCTCCCTCTAACGCAATATGATGCCCAATATTACATAGATTTTAGGGACATCAACCAATTAAGTAATTAACAATATGGTGCCCAATATAATATTCCAAAATATCTCATAATTAAAAATTTTTAGAATCTCAAAATAAATAATTAACTACTTAAAAATTAAAATGTATTGATGATGACTTCCTATTTTGTACTATAATTGATATGTTTTTTTGTTATATTTTGGGAGTCATCAATGAAAAAGAGAAATATCTTCTTGCTCTTATAAAGAAAAATTAACTAAATACTTCATGTGGATTTATTGTAATATTTCAAGAAAATTGTTTAAAATGATGAAAATTGAAGTAAACAAATATTATACTCATATTTATTAATTGTGGATAGGTGAGGCATGTCAACATCAAAGAAAGAAAGAGAAATGAGACAATAAAAAAATGCTTTTCAATCCAAAACATAAAAGCAAAAGTTACTGCACACTATCAGAATTTTCATAATTGCTCATTGGTGTCATGGCACCATTAAAGGAGTGCCATGGCACTAGACGAAAATGTAGAAACACACAGTTTCATTTTCTGTGCGAAATTAACTTACATAACTCATCTTTCTAGACTAGAGGAGGCACCTTTGAGCTGCTATAACTTGAGAAGAATCCTAGGAGAGCATGAGGAGAGTCTTGGAAGGTTGGAATCAAGAAGAAGCGGTGCAAATCTTCATTCTACCTCAGTTTTTCAGTGTTTTCTCTTATTCTTTTCCTTTATGCTAATAGATTTGAATTTTGTTTGTGCTATTACAGTTTTCATCTCATCTATGTGTATTTAAATCTTCTTGTTTCTAGAGAACTATGAACTTATTTATGTAAATAACCTTGAATTTGCCATTTAGTTATTGAGAAATGAAGTTTTGATCACTTATTCTTGAGCTATTTTATTCTTGTTTAGTGATTGGTCACTGTTAGGTGAGATTTGGGCATTTGGATTGAACCTTGAAAAAAGAGACTCAAATTAGATCTTGAGAACTAATAGACTATAATTAGTTTAACTAATTTGCTATTAGAATAGGAATGTATCCAATGGACCTATGTAATCCTCATGGCTTAGGGTCTCTAATAGTATTAATTAATTAAGGTAATAATTTGCTTTAATTAAATTAATTAGGATCCTTAGAAATCAGAAGATACTTTGGGTTAATTTAGATTCTTAGATTATCAAAACTGAATTTCAAGACAACTAATGTGGTAATGAGAGGGTTAGGAAGCAAATAGGGGATTAGGACTCTAGAACACTCTTCTCTTGATTGACTTGAGTTGTTTATAGATTGAAAGTTATTTTAATTGGTTACTTTTAATATTTTCATTTTAATTGCTCTAAAATCAATCTCTAGTTTTATTAGCTTACCGTAATGAATTTGGAATTTTAATGCCTAATTGCCATTTTAATTAATTCCTTGAGGGATCAACCATGATTTACCACTACCTTCAATTGTGACCCATACACTTGCAGTGTCTCTTAAATTTTTGTGGGTATCAAGTTTTTAGCACCGTTATCAGAGAATTAAAACAATTGGTGGTTAGCATTGAAGAACCTTTTGTAGTATTCGATTAAGCATTTTTTTCTTTTCTTTTTCTTTTGAGTTGTTGTTTTGCTTAGTTTGCTTTGATTTTCTTGGTTTGAATTGATAGAACATTAGTAGCTTACGTTTAGGTCTTATAAATATCATGTTCAAATTGTTTGTGTTTTTTATTTCTCTTTTGATTTGTGATAGTATTCTTTGTGTTTGGAACAAAAGAAAAAGAAAAAAATTTTAAAAAATAGATTTCAAGTGGAACTCAAGTGGCTTTAATATTGAGAAAGAAATGAATTCCTTATCTTCAATACAAGATAAAATGATTGCTTGTAGGAATTATTTAAATGAAAGGAGGCAGTATAATATGCTTTTAAATGCTAGTTATACTCCATGTGTTGATTCTTCTCAATATTATGGTTTTTCTTGTGTTTATTGTGGACAAAGTCATTCTTGTGAGCATTGTCACTTTGACAAAGCCTGTAACTATACGGGGGGTGATTTCACTAAGAGCGAAACTTATTTTGATAATTCTTTCAATCCTAGTTGGAGTCTAGAAAAACATGAGTCTTGGAATCCTCATTTAGATTATCATTCAAATGAAATGACCCCACCTTTTTACTTTTATCTAGATGTTAAAGGAAACTACCTAAGAGTATAGCGAGGAGTCTCGCTTAGAAAGATTGTTTGAGGACTTTATGGATTTATCAAGGAAACTTTTAAATTCACAAAAGAACTTGGCCAACAGTGTTGAGTCAAGTGCTAAAAATATTAAAGTCTATGTGAGCTAAATGTTAGAAGATATTGAAAAGATAAAGCAACAAAACACTTGCCATCATATTTCCCCATTGATCTTTGATGAAGATTATGAGAAAGCTGAGGATAGGGAATTGCATGAGAATATAGATAATGCAAAAAATGATGATAAACTTGAAACCAATTTGTGGGAGAGTTGTGGATGTCAAGAAGAGGTTCCGACTTTGGAACATAATCTTTGTGATTTTAATGTTAAGCTTGATGATGAGATCCCAATACTTGTTTCACATGAACCTCTTATTGAAATTTTGACTCTTACTGATAAGAGTCAAGTAGTTTTATTAGATTCTCTAAATTTTTAAAAGATTCTCTTTTTAATTATTGGAATGTGCCTTCTATGCTGTCTTTGAAATTAATGAATGCTTGTACTTTAAGATTGTTAATAAGTGAGGAAGTACAGGTGATTAATATGAATGAGGAAATTTTATTTTTAAAACCTTATTGCTTGAAAAGAAATGAAGGAAAGATGATTTTGGCATTTGAAACTTATGATTAGATAGCTGCGTTGAGAAGTCTAGCTAAAGACTATAAACATAGTGCTTTTTGGGAGGCAACTCAAGTGTTTAGTTTTTGACATTTTAGTTATTTTTTGTGTTTATATTAGTTGCAGTAGTTTTCATGTGGTTTGTAGGATTTTGTATCCCTTGGAGTTTGCCTTTTCTAGTGACTAAGACCAACATCAAGGGAAAAAATTGTTTAAGTGCATAAGAGGGAGTATCTTTCCTTCATGCATATGGCTACTGATATTTTATTGCTACATTGCTGATATACCACTATTTAATTATGTTGTTTCTTCAAGTTTGCATGATGTTGAGGTTGTGTGGTCATGGTTAGTACTAAAAAAAGTCTGATTTGATCTATTGTGTGAAGCTGATACAGAGTTTTGATTTTAAGAGAGGGTATGATTGCACATGTTTTATGGTTTTGATAAGTGTTGAGATGCTATTTGGTTATGTCATGAGTTTGTAAATGTTTTAGCATGTGAAAATGAGGTTTCAATGTATTTTGAGGGGATAAAATTAGTGTAGGTGCATTTCTACTGATACTGATAAAATCTACAAATTTGACTCTAATGCCATGGCACTTGTTGTAACAAGTACACTAGCGTTCAGGGCATCAAGATGGCCCTCTGGTGCCACAGCACTGTGATCTTAGTGCCATGGCACCATGATCTAGGAGGAGCATTTAAAAAAAATTATGAGGTCTTATGTCCTTGTTCCATGTCTCCTCATGATATTTTGCAGATTATAAGGTTTTCGTCCTCTTTCTCCCTACATTTGGATCACTTACATTTCTCCATTCTATCAAGGGCGTGTCAGTTTCTTTCCCTCTCTTTCTCTTGTTTTTATTGTTCATCTAGTTTTCATATTGTGGACAACGTGTTGTTCAAGTGTGGGAGAGTGTAAAATTAACTTTGCATTGCCTTGCTTGCCCTCAAATTTTGGTGTTTGATTAATTGTGTATCTTCATTTTTCTTTTGCTATAAATATTGGTGTTTTGAGTCCTTTTTGTATATATTTTTTGTTGAAAAAAAATTTCATATTTTTTATGTCATTTGTCTTTGGTTTATTTGTGAATGTTGTCAAGATTAGTTGTGCTTGAATTTGAAGGTATTAAGTTGAATTGAGATTCTTCTTTACCTTTGCATTGGATGGTTGTAATTAGGCAAAGAATTAGGCTTGGATAACTTAACTTAGGGAGTCCAAAAAGCTTGTGAGGAAATTGAGCTTAAATTTTTATTTCTTTTAAGAGAGAATTTACTTATTGTAATTCCATCTCTAGAACTTGTCTTGAATCTCTCTTGAGAATTTAAATGCCTTTTTGCATACACTAAGATGATTTTGGCATTCATTCTCAAAGCTAGTTTGGCCAAATGACCATCCTATTCACATTTAATCCCTTGTTTACCCTTTGAGCCTTAGCCATTCCTTAAAAAAAAACAAGAAGAATAATTTCATAGCCCCTTGTTTGGATTAAAATATCCTTTTATGTTTTTTCCCTTTTAATCACTTAAGTTGGTGCTAAGTGGGGCAACTAGTGAAAGAATTGATGAAAAGAAGAAGAAGAAAAAGTCCATGTTTGTTTAGAAAGTAATGAATATGCAAATGCTTTGTAAAAGTTGAGAAAGAAAGAAGAAAAATGATGAAGATGAAAAGAAAAAGAAAGAGAAAGAAAGAAGAGAAGAAATAAACAATGGATGCGGAAAAAAAAATTTGACGATGGAAAAAAAAAGGTATAAGAAAAATAATTGATTAGTTGATCAATCTAATAGATGATAACTCATATTCCTTAAGATTTATTTGATGATTCTTAGCACTAATTGAAGTTGGTTTCTTTTGTCCTGTACCTATCTCATTTCATCATCCTAC